CTTCCGATCCTCTTTGTTGCTCCAGACCTCCTCAGGTAATTTACAGTCTAATAGGTTAGATGACCCTCTGTTGATCAGGTAAACTGCAGTGTTGACTGCATCTGCCGAGAAGGATGGTGGTAGTCCTGCGTGCAATCTCATGCTCCTAGCACACTCATTGATGGTCCTGTTCATGCGTTCTGCAACTCCATTTTGCTGTGGTGTCCCCAGAATGGTCTTCTCCATTCTGATACCTTGAGCTGCACAGTAGTCCTTGAACCACCATCAATGTACTCACCACCATTGTCAGATCTCAAACATTCCAGTTTTAGATCTGTCTCCGTTTCAACCATGGCTTTCTAAGTTTTGAACACAGAAAATACATCAGATTTATGCTTCAGAAAGTAATCCCATACCTTTCTGTTGTGGTCATATATGAATGTGACGTAATAGCGAGAGTCTCCAAGAATGTCACTATGGAAGGCCCCCACACATCGAATGATGCGAAGAGGGTTAGATTTTGGTTATACGTATATTTGAGTTTAGATAATTTTTTAATGTATAGCCAAATACCTAGATAGAAGATTTCAGGACAACATTCTTGTCGAATATATGAAAGATAGAGTTTAACTCGGTACAGTTTATAGGTCAATTCAGCCTAGCTTAAGTGATGACCGGAAGACCGGACCTAGTCAACTCAATAAAATTTTCATTTTCTCCCCACCGATATCCTCATCAATTCAATTGGCGAATAACTACTCGTCTACTAGTCACATGACGAACAATTACGCATTAATTTTGTTTGTGACAAACGGATGCTTGTCAGTTTAGCTTGCACTGGCTTACTCCTCAATCTGAAAACTGGTTTCCTTGGCTAGACGTCTGATCAAGCTACAAATCATCCTATATGACAAATGTATTTTACTTGCTTTGATAAAACATATATCTATTCATTTATGTAACATAATGATTAACATCTCAAATGTCTAAGTAGGGTCAAGCTTGGAATTTTTGGTAGGTAAGTCGAGGCAGTAAGTTTATGTACTTTGTTATCTCAATTAGTAAGATTCTATAACTTTTCTTTTTACGGCTATTTCTCTTCCTAAGTATGCTAATTTTTTGTATTTTTTGAAGGGTGAGTATGCCATTTTAGGTGGTGATAGTTTTAATGAATTTCTTGTGTCCTTGCTTCTAACTTGTGTATCAGTAGTTATGTACCAAGATTTACATACATACCCACTCAAATCCTATGTATTTACATATCTAACAACCTAAGCTTCCAAATTTTGCATATATGCCACCTTACCACCCATGTAAGAAAAGTTGTATTTTACTTCGTAAGAGTTAGAACAGTGGTATTTTTTTATCTGGTACGAAAGATTTGGGAGGTATAAATGTAAGAAGTTTAGGTGTTAGACATGTAAATACATAGGAAATGGGTGGGTCTGTATGTAAATGCTCCTTTTGCTAATTATTCACAGGTTCTCTTCACGCTAATAATTTTTTTCTAGCATTTGTTATATTAGATGAGGAATTTTAATTTAATATTTTTTTTTCTGTTACTTTAAATTTCATTGTCTTTATTCTAAGCAAACAATTAATTATTAAGGGGCTATATATATATATGCATCAGGACTGGCACGGGATTCGAATGCGAGGCCTGACGGGAGTATGCAAATAAATTCGAGTATCACTTGTCTTAAGAATAGAGTGCACTGACAGGGGATTTGAACCCGAGGCGTGAGGGGACTTACAACCTTAAACAGACTGCTCTACCAACAGGCCTTGGAATGCCTCTCTGTGTGTGTGTGTGTGGTCTATATATATATATATATATCACTGCACTGTCAGGAGATTCGAACCCGAGGCGTGAGAGGACTTACGACCTTAAAGAGGCAGCTCTATCAACCGGCCACAGAATGCGCCTATATTAGAAAGGATTTGTTGCAGGTTAATATACGAGCTCCCAACCAATCTCATGTGTCTAACCACTCGATCTATTACTGCAAGACAGATGTCAAACCTGTGACTCAAGAGGACTCACGACTGACAATGCTGCTACCAACTAAAGAGTCACGATGTGTGGAATAATATATATATATATATATATATATATATATATATCGCTTATGAAGTAAATTTTGGAAGAAAAATAAAAAATTAAATGCATGATTTCTGGTTATTTACTCGTGATAAAATGATTAAAGGTTGGGACTCGAACATAATATCATTTTTTGGGCTCAATTATTTCATTAAAAAAAATAGTGAGTTCCATTTCTAAACATCTTATATCATGATTAAAAAAAAAACCCTGAATATTAAATTTGAGGTCGTTACATGCATATCTCACATTTCTTTAGTTATTTGCATATTTAACGCATAAATTTTATTTTCTTACATCTCTAATGCCCAAAATTTTCTTATGGAATCAAAATATCACGTTATTAAGGGGTGTAAACGAGCCGAACGCAAACAGAGCGAAAACGGGCAAGCCCAAGCTCAGTTCATGTTCGGCTCGTTTATATTTCGAACACAAAAAGTGTGTTCGTGTTCGACTCATTTGTTTAGCGAGCCGAACAAGAGTTGTTCGCGAACAAAGAGTCATTTTGATAACGCTATATATTTAGTCATAAAATATTAATAATTAGTGCAAGTTTTAAATCTTATTGTTTATATTGAAAGATTATTTAAATATAATTTAATAGATTAACGTACCGAACACGAGCTTTTCCTGGATAACGAGCCGTTTTGACAGTCGTAACTTCATCCATAGGTAAGTGGGTATATGTATAAAAAAAAAGTCAGTATGTAAATACACAGGAATTAAAGTGGTATATATGTAAAAAAATGCTTCCCCTCTGATCTCTTCCTCTCGATCCGACAAAGTTGAGAGAATCAGAGCAGTAAACCTAAGTAGAGAGAGGGGGGGAGAGAGGGAGAGAGGGTTGGGATTGTCGGATTCGATCTGGGAATCAAGAAAGCAATCGGAGTGATGTATTAACTTCGTTCGCTTCTTCTATTTTCGACTGCGCTGTTCCAGAGATTCGGATGGCGGCGGCGGCGATTGCTCGCCGGAGAGTATGGATGGCGTTGACATCTTCAAGTAATCAAATCCGCGAGCTCTCAGAACTAGCCAAGTCGAATGGAAATGGGAAGAGGGCATTTCTGGTGGATACCCTGGGACTGGTAGGTTTCTGCTTATCTCTCTCTCTCTCTCTCTATCGAGTTTGTGTGAAGGTAAGGTGTTTGATGTAATGCCAATGACAAGAGTTCTTATGAAGTTGTTTGATTCGTTGGCAGGTGAGGAGATTGGAAGGGCAGGGTGTGCCCTCAAAGCAGGCCGAGGCGATTACTTCCGCCATTACAGAAGTTCTGAATGATAGTTTGGAGAATGTGTCGCAATCATTCGTGTCTAATGGGCGCATGCAGCTGGTGCGTGGTTTGTATATATATATATATATATATATTTGTTAGTTCTTCGAGTGGAAGGAAGATATGTGGTGATTGATGTTTTGTTTTGCAGAGTGAGATGGCGCAAGATGCTAATCTCTCCAAGTTCAAGTCTGAGGTGCAGAGTTTACAGGTTTGTCATTTTGTTTTCTTTTTTGGTGGTGCTTGGTGTTACAATATTATTGACAATTGATATTTTGTATTTTGCTTACAATTGCTTTTTGTCTTTTTGGTGGAGCCAAAGAAAGGGTTTTTAGAATGTAAATAAATGAAAAATCAATTGGTATTTACAGACATACCTCCCAATTCATGTGTACTAAAACTTCTCTTTTATATTTATACCACCCAAATCTTTCATATCACATAAAAAAATACCACCATTTGAGTCAAATACTTCATTTCATCCATGTGTAAAGTGGTGTGTGTAAAAATTGAAGTTTAGATGTTAGATATGTAAATACATAGAAATTGAGTGGTATGCATGTATTTCTTCTTAAAAAGGATGTTATAACCAAAATACATCTGACTATACAAGTAATTTTTATTGTTATGCTGTTTAAAGTAATATTATCAAATTTTCATCTGTTGTTTAGTCATTGGAAAGGTTGATAGATGTTAGAATTTATATGTTGTAAGGACTCTCACTTTTTGAAATGTAATGATTATCATTGTTTTGCAATTGCGAAGAATAGGAAAAATAAAAAAAAGATTACTATATTGATGCCTTCATGTTATGTTGCGATATCTGCATTATAGTTATGGAAAGCGCATAAATATGCTTCAGACAGTCCAGATACCTAGAATTTGAAGTTATATTCTGACTTTATTCACATCTGTGGAACTCTTTGATGTTATTCATGATTGTCCGTCATATGGATTTTGTCAAATAAATTTATTATGGGGCATTTACATATGTAGCACGTAATGCTTATGTATTTACATATCACCCAAATCTTAATATCACATCAAAAATAGCCCTATTATCATTTTTTAAATGTGAAATTCACATTTTCATGTATAGTTTTAAAGCACCAACGTACAATGTTTGTAAATATCAAACTTTAGGTGTGAGATGTATAAATACTTAAGAATTGTTTGCTACATTGTAAGTTTCCAAATTAGCTTTTTGGTACTTGTAGTTTCTTGCTTGATGTTCATGCATCTGCAATCTGAAAGGCCTACTACCGCAATGCAATGCTCACTTTTGCACTGTGATTATTATACATGGAGTTGTATTTTATTTATAGGTTTTCGTGATTATTGAAAACATGCTGCTTATTTTTTTTTGGTGATTTACTTACATAAAACCCAATTCCTATGTAATTACATATCTAACACCTAAATTTGACTCTTTACATTTTTACCACCCAAATGTTTTTGTATCATATAAAAATACCACTATTTTAACGTTTAAAAAGTCAAATACACACTTTCATGCATAGGTAAGGTGGCATGCATGTAAAAATTGAAGTTTAGGTGTTAGATATGTAAATACATAAGAATTGAGAGGTATGTATGTAAATCTTCCTTTTTTTATTCAATCCAATGTTTCTACAACTAGATTGGCTTCCAATGGAAATTCAAAGAAGGATGAGAATGGGAGGACAAGACTGTAAATCTGAGAGTCTATTGTGCATCAGAAATGCAGATCATTTTTGTTAAGATGAGCACATGGTTATTATGAGTTTTAAGTTGCTTTAATTGTTTTGTATAGTTAGTTTTTAGTTGTGTAAACATGCTTATGGTGTTGATCCTATAGAGAATGGGTCATGCTTTTCAAAAATTTGTCCTGATATGATTTAGTTTTTGGAAGATTTACATACATATTCCTTATTTATTTACATATATCTAATACCCAAACTTTAATTTTTACATCTATGCCCCCAGACTTATGCATGAAAAGGTGTATTTCACCTTTTATAAATTAAAATTGTGGTGTTTTTGATGTGATGTCAAAGATTTTGGTGTTAGAATGTAAAGTCGTAAAGTTTAGTTGCTAGATATGTAAATTCATTGGAATTTGGTGTTATGTAAATGTCCCTTAGTTTTTTTTATGTTAGTTTGAGTCATTAAATGCCCTTGAGTCATGTCGATCATCTTATTAATTGATAAAAACTCAATATTTTGTCATAATTTTGTACTTTGGATTTAAATTTTGAGTGTGACGCATATATTGATGATATGTTCCGGGGAAACTTTCTCCTTGTATGGATGTGATGCTTGAATCTTTTTTGGTGAATTTTATTCTTCATCTTTTCATATACAAATACACACATTATGATTAGTTTTTGCATGTATGATTCGTATAAGTCTAATATTATCTAATTTTCCTTCTCATATTTTGAATCCCTATTGTTGTGTGATTTTATTTTGTTGGAAATTTAAATTATCGTTTAGAGTGAGTTTTATTTAGGGGCAATTACATACATACCACCCAGTTCTTATGGATTTACATATCTAACATCTAAAATTTGCCTTTTACGTTCATGCCATCCAAATCTATCACTTTAAAAATACCACTATTTTAAATTTTAAAAAGAGAAATACACATTTTCATGCATAGGACCTTTCGCATAAATTAGGACGAAACAAAATATTTTTCTTTACCAGCACAAAACAACACGAACCAAATGCATAAAAGAGAAACACCTGCAATTCAAGAGATAGGCGATGCCAAATCCTAAACCTATTTTTCAAGATAACAATCACACATATCACAAAACCCTAAACATATTAGCCCTATTTATACCCCACAATAATAAATATCAAATGACTAATATGTGATTTTTGTCTTACACCTAAACATAAGTCTTCAAACTATTTCGGCGAGCTCGACATCGATTCAGTGGAGCTTGAGGCAGAAGGTGTCGTATGCGCCGGTTTAGCATTGCTTTCTTCCTAAAAAGACGCCTTTCCTCAAGATGGAAGTGAGGAAACTGTTGTTTGATCAAATTGTATAACTCCCGCGTGGCATCATAATCTGACAATTGTTTTCATTTAACCAGAAATTTGTAGTAATTCTCATGAGTTCCAAATGCAATCTTGTAAACATCCATTAGTAGCATTCGAATCTGATGATACCCTGACTTCAAGTCAATTTTCTATTATACCGTAGCCCCAAACAACTCTTCTAATATCTCATCGATCATTAGGATGGGAAATTTGTCAAATATTATTTCCTTATTCATTATCTGATAATCCACACAAAAACACCAACTCCCACCATTCTTCTTTACTAGCAAGATTGGGCTAGAGAGGCTCACACTAGGCTGTATGATCCTTAGCCTCCAACCTCTCTCGATCTTGTTCTTCTATACTTGGGGCTCGGTTCCCTTAGAGACGAAAATCTACGTTACAATCGAAAAACTTTTGCAAATTATTATAGGAGTTGTTGGATCAGTGTCAAAATCTCTGCCAACTCCATATCAAGCATATCTTCTATGCTATGCAACTCGATCAAGAATCACAACCTCGTGTCATGTTTTACCCTAACCATGGTCTTGAGTGTCACCAAAGTCTTGCACAGATTAGGGTCACTGCAAAGCAACACCATCCTGCTCCTTCCTGGAACTCCATTGTTAGGAGTTTTCAATTCATCTTAGCCTCTCCTAAGGATCGCAACCATTTCATACTCAATATCACATCACGTTAGTACTCCCTAAATCCATTAGGAAAAAATCACCCATCACTTGAATACATTGCAGTGCTAAAATCACTCATTTACAAACTTCTTTGTTCTTCTCCACCTGTCGCATCCCCATCATGACTTCAAAACTTCATGTGTCAACCATCTCAAGCCCTAAATGTTTCACTACTTTAGTAGAGATGAAGTTATAGGTTGCCCCACTATTTACTAACACCACCAAGGTCCACTCTCTGATTTTTCCTCGAAATTTCATAGTGTGGTTAGGTGTTAAGCCCACCACCGAGTTTAATGAGACTTTTTTCACGTCTAAGTGAGGGTGTTCTTCTCCTACAACACACTCTCCTTGGTTTTTTCATTCATTGATTCGCCGTCACGCACTGATCCTTACAATGGTGTCTCGGGACAAACTTTCGTTACACAGAAAACATAACCCCTTAGCTCGCTTCTTCTGAATCTCTATCTCTATAAGACGTTTAAATGTCATCCTCGGTCATGGTCTATTATTCCTATCCCGTGAAGCCTCACTTTGACATCCCACTATTTGAGTTTTTGATATCGTCGTGGTTGTAGCATTTAAACATGTCACTTCACTTGTGTCTTCACTTGTGTTGCTCCTATTAGCCCGTTCCATTGCATTTTTATTTTCAACCGATAGTGCTAATTCCATAAAATGGTTTTAAATCATTCATCATGGAGATAATAGAATCTGGGTAATTGCTGCGCCTAACTATGTTTCATAATAAGTCTATGGTATTTCTCCTTGTTTATTTGTGAAAGATTTAGGGAAGATTTTTACATACATACCACTCAAATGTATTTACATATATAACATCTAAACTTTAATTTTTACACACGTACCACCTTACTTATGCATGAAAATGTGTATTTCACTTTTAAAAAGTTAAAAATGGTGGTATTTTTGAATATTTGGGCGGTATAAACATAAAAAGTAAAATTTAGGAGTTGGATATGTAAATATATAGGAATTGGGCGGTATGTATGTAAACGCCCCAAGATTAAATTGCTGTTATTAGCAATGTTGACCAGTTAATAGCTTGTTATTATACCTGGAAATCACACAGCAGTCATGGTAAAATTTGTAATAACAATCATGATCTCAAGGGACATCTTTGTATTGCAATAATGACACATTATATATTATAAATATTTTGTGACTTTTTATTTATTATAGATTTATCCATTCATTTCTCTGTAGGAGCATCATTTTTCTTTGCTGCAACGTGAAACTGAAAAGCTCAAGACGGACATCGAAAAGATGCGCAGCGAGCTCAGGTTTTTCCTGTTTTCCGTTGATGTTGTTGCATTGTTATATTCAGTGATAACCCTGGCTATTCGATCTTATTTTTTTAGGGCAATTTACATGCATACCATACAATTCTTATGTATTTTCATATCCAACACTTAAAAATGTTTGATATTTACATTTATAACACTTTGGGGTTAAAAGTTATGCATGAAAATTTTATTTCACTTTTAAGAAGTAGGTAATAGTGGTATTTTTAATGTTATCTCAAAGATTTGAGAGGCATGTATGTAAATATGAAAGTTTAGGCTCTAGATATGTAAATATGTATAAGAATTGTGTGATATGTAAGTAAATGCCCCCCTTTAATTTTGAACAGGTATGAAGTTGACAAAGTGACTGCAGGACATCGTTTAGATTTAAATCTTGAGAGAGGGTGAGTTATGACAATGTAAAGTTTGAATGATTGCTAATATATTACATTATTCACCCAAAATTTTTCTATTTATCCATATCAAGTTTTATAAATTTCATTTTTTTTTTTAATTTATTTCTCATTCTGATTGCCACACTGATGCAGGCGCTTGCGCGACGAGCTTGCCAAACAGAGTGCTGAGACATCCGACCTTACTAACAAGCTTGATCGAGTTAGTGTTCTTTAAACTTTTTGGCATTCAATAATTCTTTTTTTAGGAAAATTTACACCCAAAATTTGATATTTATATTTTTATAACATCTTGGTGGTGTAAATCCATGCATAAAAATTTGCATTTTGAATTTTGAAAAGTTAGGAAAACAGTATTGTTTGTCATGATGTGAAATGTGGATGGTGAAGTTGGGTGTTAAATATGTAAATGCATGAGTTGTGTGGTATGCATGTAATGTCTTTTTTAATTTTGATGGTTTTATCATTATTAATATTATTTTGCAGGAAATTCATGCCTTGAAGGCGCAATTGGAGGCTGCTAAATATGATGTAATAAAGTACTGCATTGGTACTCTGGTTTCAATATCTGCTGTTGGACTGGCTGTGATCCGAATTCTCATGTAGCACCTTTTAAAAAAAAAAAAAAATTATTTATTTATAAATGGGACGATGGTAAAATCAAGATGATGAGATACTGAAATGTTTTCATTCTTTCTGGAATTTATGGATACTAGAAGGCTGTAATTGTAACATTTTGCAGAATTGTTTTCCTCTTCTTTGTTTAGATGAAGAAGGATGGTGAAATTCAGTAATGGTTTTCGTTGGGTTTCATTGTTGGACATTTAAATTTAGGGATAATTTCATACAGAGCACCCGAGACATTCACTATTTACAAATCAAGCAATAGGGATAATTTCATACAGAGCACCCGAGACATTCAATATTTACAAATCAAGCATCCTGATGAATTTTTGTATCACAGAACTGATACATTTATATGTGCATGTCACGATCAAATTATTGAGTATTTGATATATATATATATATATATTGTTGGTATTTTTATAGTGAATTTTGATATTTAAGTGAGAAAAGAGATGAAAGAGTGATTGATTTGTAAATAGCAAAGTTTTAGGTGCTCTCTATGTACTTGCCCCCTTAAATTAGTTAAAATCACTAATCCTTTGGCAACAAGTACTTATCTTTCTTGCATATTTTGTTATATTATTATATTTCTTGTACTTCTCTGCCTTTATCAACAAGGGTTGTGCATTATTTGGTTAATATAAAAAATTCATAGATTCAGCCTCAAAAATCCAGTTCAATTTTTAGCTCTAAAAGCCTTAATATTCAATTTATTATTATTATTATTATTATTCCGATTTTAATTTTTATTTAACAAAAAACAAGTCAAAAAATCAAATATAATTAAAGATTTTTTATTCATGTTAAACAAGTTCAAAAAATATAACTTTTAAATAATATATAACAATTAATTGAAATAATGAAATTAAATTGATAATTATATATGTAATACTTGTTCATAACTAAACCACCAAAAAAATAAAAAAGCTTATAACTGAAGGATTTACATTGAATTTAATTTTAATTTCATCAGCTTTGATTTTTCTGTAATTTGATCAAAATGAAAATACATTCATACGAAGTGACTGAATGCTCACCCCTAATACCTCCACTCTCCAAAGCTTTGAATCCTTCAAGATAAAATGTGGTTTATGATGAATGATTTGAGTTCTGGATTTGTATTGAACTTTACTTGAAGATTGATTTATAGCAGTTGGATTCACAACAAATGCAACACTATTAAATTCCCAAAAATACTATTCTTGCCATGGTCTGCACAGACAAGCTATCTACACATTCTAACCAGGTAAAAAAGCATTATTAAAATGTTGAATTTTAACCTTGCGAAGTTTAACAAAATAGTAGAAAACAAAAATGGTGTAAAGAAAAAAGAAAAAAAAGCTGAATTATTGTACTACAAATCATTACTTAACTGGTCACGATGAAGCAGAATACTTGTCAGGTCTCCAATCTGATTTTTCTGCTGAGATTATTCCTTCTTCGTTTTTGTTGAAGCTTGTTAAAATTTTCCAGTGCAAAGACTTCAACAGGTTTTCCACTTCACTGGCAACGACAGATTCATCCCTGACTATCAGCTTGCCTCCTGGCCTCACAATCCTATCGATCTCAGCCAGAACTGGAACAATACTGCACCTGAAATCCCAGGTCAAATATTTTTATATTTTCTATACAATTAAATAAATTTATGAGAAATTTACACTCCAATCTGATTTTTCTGCTGAGATTATTCCTTCTTTGTTTTTGTTAAAGCTTGTTAAAATCTTCCAGTGCAAAGACTTCAACAGATTTTCCACTTCACTGGCAACAGCAGATTCATCCCTGACTATCAGCTTGCCTCCTGGCCTCACAATCCTATCGATCTCAGCCAGAACTGGAACAATACTGCACCTGAAATCCCAGGTCAAATATTTTTATATTTTCTATACAATTAAATAAATTTATGAGAAATTTACACGCGGCACGCAATTCTTATGTATTTATATATCTCACACCTAAACTTTCATATGCGACGTAAGCATGAAAATGTGCATGTCACTTTTAAAAAGCGGTATTAGTGCTATTTTTGATGTGATATAAAGGATTTGAGTGCTGTGTATGTATATATCAAAGTTTTGGGGTGAGATATGTAAATAGATGAGAATTATGTTGTGTGTATGTAGATAAATTTAAATAACATTCATGAGCTCTCACATTCATCATAATTCAAATGATTTTACCTTTCTTTCATCTTTGAGAACAGATGGTCGGCGTGGAGGAGATCATAGGTTCGGGGATAAGTGCTAAAGGATTCACACCAGTCGTGATATATGCCGAAAAGGCCGCGCTCGTAGATAACGGGCAACGTATCTGGAGAATCAATGTTCACAACATTCATGACCCACACATTCAGATCTTTCAGAGCAGCAGCAAACCTGAAGAGAACTTTGTCAGGTAAGAGAAGTATGGTGTCAAAATAATTCCTTGATTATTTACATGAGGTCATTTTAGTCGCAGAGGTCTATAAAGGTGTAAAAAAATGGAGGACTTAAAAGAGTTTGGCAACTAAACTTGCACTTTTATAGACTCGAGGGGCTAAAATGAACCCCTACAAAATAATCAGAGGACCATTACAACACTTTTTTTGTGAAGTTATAAAATACAAAGTGTTGCATGGGAGCAGCAGAATTCTTACCCTCCATATACAGATCTCATATCCATTACATTTCTAAGTTTGGACCAGTTGATGCCCAAATTATGGAGGTAGAAATTCATTACTCTATGTTTCCAGTACTGGTAGTCTGATTTAAAATCATGAGCTGGTTTTCCATAGATTCCTGTATGGGAGGAGTTCAGCCAATATGGAGGCATTGCGAGTCTTTTTGGCCAGTTCGCAGGCCATTTTGCGCCTCTTTCAGCTGCATTAACAGGCACCCTATGCATGCAGGTTTTTAGAGGAATATACCTGGGGAATGAACACAAGAAATGCCAAATTCAGAAATGGAAAGAATAAAACAGAAAAAAAACAAATCTTTATTTCTCTGAGAATTCAGAAAGACAGAAAATTCTATGATTTTACAGATTTATTAAAGATAATTGGGGAATTTACGTACATATCTCATGGCTATTATGTATTTACATTTCTAACATATCAACTTTCACATCTACACAAGAAAATATGATGTCCATTTTACTTGTTATTAGTAAAATACATCATTTCATGCAGAGTTATAACATCAAAGAGTTATAAATTTAAATATAAAAGTTTAGATGTTAGATATGTAAATACAAAGGAATTGTGCGGCATGTATGTAAAATTTTCTAAAATAGCTTCGTTTACTGAGACTCCCCTCAATTTGTGGAAGAAATATCAGTCATAAACTTCGAAAATTTTCCCCAAATTATTGGACATGTCAGTCATAACCTTTTTCCTGAGAAAGAAATCATCTTATATGTCATAAAAGATCACCAACAACACTACTTTATACTTAATAGCTATTCATCATGTAAAGTCACAAAAATTCCCTGCTTAATTTGTATACCCATAGTTGCTTTGCCCAACTTTAATCTCATTGGATCAAATTGTCTGTAAGGAATTATCTAAAAAGAGTCATCCCTCAAAACGTGTCTCAGCTCAATCTGAATCTAATTCCCAAGATCCTAGTGAGCCCAAATTAAGTTTTGACTAATTCTACATGAAGTTTATGAACGGTGTTATGAACGATCCATGAATAATCCGGCTTCAAGCCGATTTCGAGCCAAGTGAAGGTTTGGCTCGTTGCATTCAATTTCAAGCCAGCTCGGGTAAAAATTGAATCGAGCTTGATCCGTCTCAAAATCATAACAGATGGCTCAAATTAAGCTTATTTGGATCCATTCCATTTTGAAAATCAAAACGAATTGGCTCATTTCGATTGATCAAGTTTAAAATGAATGAATACAAAGAAATTGCACAAAAATCATGCCACTTGTGCATTTTAAAATTTTATTTACTGTGATGTATGTGTGTGTGTGTATAAATTGAGTTAATTCGAGCCAATCCATATATGACCTGAAATCAACTAAAAAAATTCCAACCATGATTTTAGCTCTGCTCGTTTACTTCAATCGACGCCAAAATTTATTTTTGAGCGATTTACGAAAGCTAAATTCTCAGCCTTATAAATACAGTTCCAATAAAATTAATCCATTAAATTTCCATGAAAAGTGGCATAGATAAACAAAGCTATGCACAATATAAAATATCAAGGTGACATTAGCAAATTATGATAAAAACCATTTATAGCTCACCCCCGAAGCAAGGTTAAGGAAGTCTTTTGCTGATTGTCACTTCAGGATTTATTTGTTATGATCATATGAATAAATGCTAGCCTGATTTAAACTATATTTTTCCACAGCACTGAAATCAATATCATGTCCAAAAAGCAGAATTTTCTTATTATAAAAAAAGGGAAACTTATACATACATACCACAGATACATACCACAGAATTCTCATGTATTTACATATCTAACACCCAAAGTTTGATATTTACACTTGTAACACCTTGGTGTCATAGAGCTATGCATGAAAAGGCGTATGTCAGCTTTAAAAGGGTAGTTTTGGTGGTTTTTATAAGTAATGTGCATGAAAAGGCGTATGTCAGCTTTAAAAGGGTAGTGTTGGTGGTTTTTATAAGTAATGTTAAAAAAGTAATGTTTTTGAGTGATGCACATGTAAATATGAATGTTTAGGTTTTAGATATGAATGTTTAGGTTTTAGATATGTAAATACATAAGAATTGTGTGGAATGTATGTAAACGCCCCAATAAAAAAAAGATTCTGAATTGCCAACTCACCAAGCTGCATTGGGATCATCTCCTTCCTCACACATGGGAGGATTTTGATTCTTTCTGTTGTCATAACATTCATTTGTTGTGGGTTTCCTATAAAAAGCTGCAGCAACTCCATTTAATTTATCCTTTTTGATAGTGACCAGATCCCAGCACATTGATATGGTAAGTGATGACATTGCTGAACTAAAAAAACAATAAAGCTTTTCAGTTTCAAAAAGAGCATTAAAATACAAACCACCCAACTTCTATGTATTTTTTTTTAACTACTATGTATTTAAATATCTAACACCTAAACTTCAATTTTTACATTTACAACACCCAAATATTTCTTATCATATCAAAATAACCCTTTTTAAACTTAAAAAAAAGTAAAATACACCTTTCATGCATAGAAAATGTGGTATGTATGTAAAAATTGAATTTTAGGTGTTGAATATGTAAAAAAATAAAAAATTGAGTTTCATTTATGCAAATTTTCCTACATTTAACCGTGTCCAGTAACTAAGCAAGGATTTGGAAGGCAAAATCCTAACACCAAAAAATCACCTTTCCATATTCCTACATCTTCCTTCAGTTTTTGATAAACAGGCGTGGCTGACCACACAAAATAGCCACCGGGACGCAGCACCCGATTCAGCTCCAGCAGCAGCATGCCTCCTGCTCATCACAACCACAATACAATAATAAAAAATATAACACAAATGATGATTGATGGGAAAAATATTGAAGATGAATACCATCTGCGTGCCACGGGACACGACATCTCGCACAATGAACAAGATCGAAAACGTTGCTTGGGAATGAAAGCCGTTGGGAGCCCATGACTGCAGATATTGCAGGAATTCCACGCTCAAGAGCGAATTGAACTTGTGCTTCATGTTCGTCCTTTGGTGCGAATGACATCGCAAGCACGTCACGTTCAAAGAGATAGCCACCAAAGCTCGCAACCCCGCAGCCGACATCTAATATAACACGGGTATTCTTTCCCCACGAAATATCACGTTGGGACTGCAGCAAGAGGAAGAGATGCCATAAAACAGAACTAAGAAGGATAAAAACAAAGCTTTTGTTTTATAAAGATGGCTGAAAACTGACTTTGTTTTGAAGATTTGTCTCTATTACATAAAAGCAATAGAGTAAAAGAATGCCCTAGCAAGTTGAATTGTCAAAAAGGGATATAAAATGGTTATCCAATAAGCGACTGATAAAATTTAGGGGCATTTACATACATAACACATAATTTTAAGGTATTTACGTATCTAACACCTGAACATTCATAGTTACATGCATACCACTCAAATATGTAACATTACAGCAAAAGTACCGCCATCACTACTTTTTTAAAAGTAAATATGCCTTTTCATACAAATGCTTATGATACCAAGGTGTTTTAGTGTAAATATCAAGCTTTGGGTGTTAGATAAGTAAATACATAAGCATTGTGTGGCATGTATGTAAATTCCCCTAAAATTTCAAAAACAATCAATTTGTCCTATAAGTTCATTTTTTCGGTCGTATCAAAAAACCACTTTCTCGAGATGTTGCATCAAAGAAAAGTTTGATAACTTGTAGGTAATAGATATAAAATGAGTCCTCATGAAATCCGGCATCATGCATAGAATGAAAATGAATTAGGGAAACAAATAATCTTGAGTAATAAGAGGTTGCTGATCTCATCGTATAGAATACTTGAATCCTTTTGTGTTGCATTAGATATTAATTTTATTTTGCGCAATTATGGCTATGTTAACGCTATTATACCTATTTTCTCTTCATATTTTCAAATTAATTTTATAACCCCCTTACTGGCATGTCTTCTATTGTTTTATATGCTAATATATCTCATATTTATTTCACCGTCTTCTTTTTAATGGATGATAATCTTACCATCCACTTATATCGTTCTGACTTTTATTTATCCTCTTGGCATTAATATAAAGATTACAAAAAAATGCTCATTAAATACATATCCTTTATATATGCCAATTGTGAGTAGAAAGCCTTGGATTAGTCCAAAACTAATTCTAATACTAGTCATTGTTGCATTAATAAATGCATGCATGATATCAACATACCTTTGAAGCACACTTTTTTTTATGCCCAATAAATCAATCAACATGGTACTCTATCATAAGATTTTTTTTAAGTTCAATACATAAGATATAACGACTCTCTTTATGCTCTCTAAGTTTTTCCATTAATTGCCTTACAAAAAAAAGTTCGTTCAGGCGAGATTTAAGCGAGCCTCCAATGCCATGATATATTTCCATTTTATTCTCTTCCAAATCTTCACCATAAAACTCAATTCCCTATAATTATCAAATCATGAACTTTTCTTTTACAATTTTCATGAATAAAATTGAGTAATTGCAATTACTCCAATTATCCAAAAGTTTCCAACTATATACAATATCTACTTCCAAATCTTCACCATAAAACCTAATTTCGAAATCAAAGTATTGTATAATACTTCATGATTGATTTCATTTTCTATTCAACTATTTTTCCTCAAACTTCATCTAAGAAATTGATTAATATATGTTCTTTAATCCACTTATTTTGTACTCAGCATACATTTAAGAACAAATAGTTATAGGGAAATTTACATATGCAGCACACAATTCTTATGTATTTATACATCTCACACCTATACTTCAATATTCACATAAATAACACTTCCATGCTTTAAACTATGTACGAGAAGGTTTATTTCACTTTAAAAAAGTAGCAATACTGCCATTTTTTATGAGATATTAATGATTTGAGTGCTATTTGTATAAATATAAAAGTTTGGGAGTGAGATATATAATATGTAAGAATTGTGTGCTGTTTATTCAAATGCACCATAATTATAAGAACTCATAAAGAAAAACTGTTCTACAACCAAATCCACTTTCTTCGAAGTAAATCACCAGCCAATCCATACCTGATGAATGAAATCTATATAATTTAGAGCTCCATGAATGAACTGCGTTCCACCTCCAGGAAATATCAGATATTCTCCATCAACCTTCACCCAGTTCTGATGCCCCTTCACCTCAGCAAGCTTAGTTCTTGGAACATTACTGTACCATATCTAATCAACCAAAAGAAAAAAAAAATCAAAATCAAAGTAAATACTACAAAAAAAATACAAATCTACTGTAACAACCTTATCTCTGCTAGTAGGCCATTCAATCGACCTCTTATACCCCTTAGGAAGAGGAACAAGACAAGCCGTACTTTTCTCCGGACAATGGCGCTCTCTGTGCACATAATGATTCCAGCTCTTCAGCTTCTTCACAGCCATTACATTGTCAAGGCAAGGAATGTAGTCAGCACCTGAGGTAACGTTGCACAGATCCCAATCAATATCTCTAATCTCGCTCTGTTCCTCAATTAGGTTTTCGGCAGGGCTGCTCTCTTTATCCTCCAGCTGAAATATTGCTTGACTCTCAGTGTCTCTATTTTCCTCCATCTGCTTCTGATCCCGGCTCTCTCTCCGTTCATCGTTCCGGTTTTCCTCTTCTTGCCTCTCCTCGTTTCGATTCTGCTCTTCGAGCTTCTGATCCGAGCTCGAATCTTGCTCCAAATCACCAGATCCAATCTCTGATTCGTCGAGGGAAGGTCGGATGTGCTTAACCTGAAGTCGCTGGCCGCCGGCGGCGGCGGCTGTAGATGACTGGGAGAAGAAGAGAAGAGAGGAAGAAGAAGAAGAAGTAGTGAGCATATAGAATGCGAAAACACAGAGGGAGCGAAGAAGAGCTCCGCCGTCCTCCGCGATAGATCTTGCTGAAACTTTTCATGTTCTAGGAACAATGGGAGAATAGAAGAGAGACGATTGGCGGTTGGCGGCGAGCTGAGTGATCAAGATTCAAAGATTCCGGCGAAAGCTATCTCGCCTTGCTCCTTTTAGTGGCGGGCATCCGTACGGCGGATACAGCTGGACTTCACTTTTATGGCCATTTGCGGATCAATCTGTTCTTATATATTTACGCGTCTAACACTTAAATTTTTATATTTATAAGAATAACACTAAAATTTTTAATATTTTTTTTAAAAATATCATTATTACTAATTTTTAAAAAATAATATATATCTTTTATGCATTATCCTATTGAAAAAAGGTTATGAATATAAACATTAATTTGCAAATGCTAGCAGTCTTTACATAAGAATTATATGATATTTATATATATACCCAATATCTAAACTTTCATATTTATATGCTTAACACTTACATTTTAAATATTTTACAAAAAAATATTATTATTATTAATATTCAAATATATATTTTTATGCATACATTATGACACCAATGGTTTAAATATAAAAAATAAATTTAACTGTTAGATTCATAAATATATGGAAGTTATGTGATAATCATAAATAACTCATATATATATATATATAATTAAATTTTACTAACCATACAACTAACTTCCTCATATATTTATTTTTTAAACTTCCCTCAAATATTAAATTAATAAAAATAATCTCAGCTCAATTTTGTTATTATTAACATTTAATAATTTATTATGTAAAAAATATTTAGATAAATTTGATAGCCATAAAATTGACTTTAAGCTCGTTAAGTAGTTTGTCTTTAAATGATTCGTTAAACAACAGAACAGAACACATAAACCTTTGTTCAATCATGTTTGATTTGTTTTATATTTAAGTTTAAACCACCACAACTCATGTTGGCATGCAACTACAACTGTTATCGCATAGGAATGGTGCAAGTTTGAATCCAACATCCTACATTAAGTTTTTTAATTAATTTAAACGTGTCAATTTCAAGTCGAACATAAACAATAACATGTAAATAGAGTTGAACACAAACATGCAATTCATGAGCAATTTTGAACACACAATTTTATGCACTTATAGGAGTAAAAACACCTTAACAAATATGCAAAAATGGGAAGAAAAATGATAAGGGGATTTTACATACATAACACACAACTGCTATGTATTTACATATCTACCACATAAAAAATGCCACTATTAATATCTTTTAAAAGATGGAATACATCTTTTCTTGCATAAATAAAGTACTAAAATGAAAAAATTAAAAGTTCATGCAAATACATAAGAAATGCAAGGTACATACACAAATCTTTCGAGACAATGAAAGAAATTCTGCTACCTTTACTTCATTTCTTTGATTTTAAAGCTTTTCTTGCTCAGCAGCAAGCATGCAAAACCTTGAAAAAGCACTTGCAATAGAGAATGATCTAGTAGAAAATATTGTGTGCGGATGAGATAGGTGCGGGCGGCCTTTTAGTATTCTGGTGATATTATGCTGGTGTTGCACAACAATCCTGCCATAATACGATCAGAATACCATCAGAATAGCACATACGGTAGTATTCTGGTGGTATTGTACCGTAATACAACCACAATACTACCAGAGTACCACCAATCCACACCTGTGGTGTTTGGATGCAATATTTCTTCCAGGTCTAGAGATCGTAAAACATGAGTGAGACCGACGAATATGAAAAACCTTGCAGCAGGAACAAGTTCTGCTCCCACAGTAATGCTGAATTTTTTGCTGTTTCTTCTCCTTGTCATGGCTGAAGCATTTTATAGCAGACCAAGAAAACAAAACTGCATCAAAACTTTAGAACAAAATATTTGGCTTATATGTGGCATTCGAATAAAATCAAATTTTTCTTATTTTTAAAATAAAGGATTGGAGTCAAATTTCAGCTTTTCCTGGCTGAAAGCCAGTGAAAATCTTCCTAAGTAGGTATGGGAAGCTACAGCTTCTATAAAAGTGTGAAGTTGTAGTAAAAGTAGGTTTTTTCAAAACTATAGTGGTGGTTATAATTTATCTTATCCAGACTCTTTTAATTGGAGCTAAAATATTCTTTCATTGGAAGTATTTTCAATCTATATTAAAAGTTGTAAACTCTGGGAGTAAAATGTCTCTCTTCAAAGAATTAGGGACACTTTTCTTCTTTTTTTTCATTAATTTTCCTTCTCATAACCACACTCCGTGATATGACGGGGAGGTGGTGGAGGAATAGTGAGGGAAAAAATACATGAGCGATTGACGATATTTGTAGAGGTTAGACACCATTCAGCAGCTGTCCCGATTGAAAACAGCGAGATGGATGACGGTGCATTGCAAATGTTGAGGAGGTAAGCCACCAGTTCCTACCACTTAGGGTAGAAATCAGAGATACAATCTCTACGACACAAACAAATCTAAAAGTCTCCTAAACTAGAAAATAATAACATATAAATACTCCTAACAGAGAATAATCCTAATTAGAAATAAGAAAAAAAAAAAAAGGTAAGAATTCTCCCATAAATCGGCAATCAAGAGAAAACAACTTATTTGGTTTCCCCAATTCCATAGGATTGTGGGATCTCGCAATCGAGAGATCGCAATACATCTGGTTATAAAAAATTGCTTATAACATAAAAAAGTCTAATAAATGGCAAAACTTGTACTCAAATAAAACTGTAGCAGAGGTCTATAAAACAAAGCATTAAAAAGCTGCCCTAAATCTTGAGCTGAAAAAATAGTTTAATTAGATAACACAAACCAGTTTTATTGAAAAAATCATACCTATATTATGATTCTCATATGAAGAATCTCATTTTTGTGAGCCTCTTAAGGCTTGTACAACTTCCTCTGTTCTCAACTGGATGCCCTTAAGGTACTCAGTCAGAATTCGCTGCTGGTAGGAACCTCCGACCTAGGGTAAGAATTAGGAGGGTAAAATTAAGCTGGTGCCATGAAAGAACCATCATATTAAAAAGGAGTGAAGTGACAAAATAGTCCCTTGCCTATATGGTGCCATTTTAGTCCCGGAGTCCATAAAAGTGTCCAATTAATCCTCAGTCTCTAAATTGGCACTGAAATAGTCCTATGGGTAAACTATTTCAACCCATAGTAAAGGAGTCTTGAAGATTAAAATGACAGTTTTATAGACCTTGGGGCAAAAATGATCCCATGCAAAGGAAAAAGTATTACATCAAGAGTCTCCACCAGGACTCCAATGAAATGGCGCCATGTCACACGACGGATCCACTAAATGAAAAAAAAATTCTATACTTTAAGGTATGGTCCGCCTCCTTCGGACATGTGGCATAATTTCACTATAGTTCTGATGCAGAAATGCATTAGGCTCGATGTAATATTTTTCCACGCAAAGAGTTAGGAAACTATTTTGACACTTTTCTGATTAAACAAATAAGAAGATTTAACTGTGCGAATCAAGACTCGTTCAATTCGCTTCTTGATGACGGCGTAGAGTTCGTCCGGCGAAACCAAATTAAGTCCCTCGATTAACAACTTGTTCCAGCGCTCTT